CTCCTCTCCCCTCCCTCTCTGCCCTCCCCATTCAGCCACCCTCTCCCTCCCCTCCCCTCCCTCCCCTACCCTCCAAAGCTAAGGCCCAGCAAGATCAGCACTGGGGAGGAAGAAGCTTTTGACTGCTTTGGGGCATCGGATTGCCAGACCCCCACCCTTGGGGACTGGCACCAGAAAACCTGCCCGGAAGCCCCTGTTGGCTACAATGCCGCTTCTTCTTCTTCCTGGAGACCAAGGGGTCACCCTTTCTCTTTTGAGACTGTGAGGGACCACCCAGCCCCCAAGCCAGGGATTGCTCCCCAGAGACTCTGAGCCCAGGCCCTGGGTGGGGTGTTTTTTCAGCAGGCGATGGGCTTCTGAAGAGAGGTCGCTTCTTGGACTTTGTGGCAGCAGAGGCTGCTAGGCTGAGGCCTCTTCTCGGAGCAGATGGGGACTGAAGAGCTCCCTGCGGTCCCCACTTTTCTGGGCTGAGAAGGCCCGAGGCAGGGACAGGGCTCTGGGGTAGCCACCAGGGCAGCAGCTTATGCTGGGAACCCAAGAAGAAGGCCAGGCTGGGGAGCTCCTCCTCCTCACTTGACCCCTGAGCCAGCCCGTGTGACTCCCTGACAGGAGATCCTCCAGGGAGATCCAAGGTGTCCTTGGTCCCCAGGCCAGGGCACATGGGTCTGTGGTCCTGGGGAGGAGAGGTTGGCCGGGCAGCTCTCAGCCCAGGGGAATCCTGACATCCTAAAAGCACAGCAGAGTCTTTGGACCTGGTCATGCCAGTGCGGGCTCTGCCTCGTCCCTGAGGGTCCCGGGCAGCCGTCTGGGGTGGGCAGGTTTCCATGCCAACCCCTTGTTGGGGGTCAGGGACGTCTCTCTCTGCTCCTTGGCCAGCTGCAAATTTAGAAGAACTTGAGTCCAACCAGGTCATGCCATGACTAGGGGCTGCCCTCGCATGCTCTTTCTCCTTCAAGGGTAGGAGGCGCTTCTCCACTAGCTGCGGAAGGAAAGGGGGCACTTACTGGCACTACCCTGGGTGTGAGCAGGGCCCAGGGTGGTGGAGACCAGGACACTTGGGTGGGACGCAGGGAAGCCTGAGGCAGCTGTGCTTTATGTCAAAGAGAGAGGGTGTGGCTCTGCCGGGCATCCCGTTGGGCCTCACTGCAGCTTGCATCCTGACTCCCCTCCCTGGCTCCTCTCCATCCTACTCCCTCTGAACCTGCATCTTCCCACCCCGGAGTGGCTCCCCAAGAAGCCGAGCATCCCCTGCTGTGGGCCTTGTATGCTGGGTCCCTCCTGCCCCTGGGGTACCTGGGCAAGGGTGAGTCCTTCCTCCTGCTCCAGCTCCTGGCTTAGGGCCAAGAAATCCATCTGTGGATCTGGGGAAAGCAATTCTTCCAGGAAGCGGGGGTGAATGACGGCCTCCACCTGGAAACAGAAGGAAGAAGGCGTGAGCTTCCTGGGCAGGGAGTAACCCGGAGCCAAGGACACCCAGAAGAGATGCAGAAAGCTGCAAGCGCCTCGTCCCCACCCTCGTGGGGCTGTCTCATATCATGGCGACCACCAGCTACAGACACAGACCGCAGACCTGGCAGCATACGCACACACAGACAGAGACACACAAACCACACACAGACACACAAACAGACCCACATACGGCACAGGAAAAGACACAGACAAAGCATACACACTCCACACTCACACCCACACAGACACACAAAGACACACGGTAACAAATCACAGACACAAACACACAGCAACACACAGACACACACAGTCACGTCCACAGACACTCAAATCCATGGAAATACACGCACTGCTGAGTAACTAAGGAACAGAGCTTAATTCTAAGGACCTGGGAGTGCTACCCCCTGGAATCCTGCAGACCCCAGCACTCCAGGCCAGCCCACCTTGGTGACAAAGTCTTTCTGGGAACACAGCTTGTCAATGTAGCTCAGGAGGCC